ATATTTAAAGAATTTGAAACAAAACACGATTTCCGAGGCCTCAATCACTCCTATTGATGACAACAATTAAATTGAACTGATGAATTTTCATATAAATTACTTATACTTATGTTTCAAAATGTACTAATTATTTTAATATTTTATGAATATTAAAATAAAAAATATTTAAATCAAACCTTTATATTAAATATGTTCATGGTACAAATTATTATTATACATGTAATTTATCCAACAATTTCAGTGCCGTGACAAACTTGGAATCGCTTATATCGTTTTTCAATTAAATTAGTTCTCCAATTGAATCGGACTCGGCAAAATTTCAACAAAAGTTGTTCTTGGTAATTATTATTATTATTATTAATATGGAGAGCGCAAGACCTCGGATTTACCGATTTTCTTGAGACTTATTGTTGACTTATTGATTATGTTTGTTGGTTTAGGAATTATAGGGTAGGGTTGGGCATTATTCGAATTGTTTCGAAGAAATATTTAGGTGAAGGTAATTTATTTGAATGTCTATTATTTTGATAAGTTGAGTTCAATCTTACAAGCTATGGCATGCAGTGAAACATACTAAACGAAATATATACTACTGTGCGTTGTAAAAAATAAATGCGTCCATCAGGCAAAATATATTTTCAACAAATCAGACTTTATTGCTTTTCACATTCGCTCGCAATTACAGATAGCTCGAATAACAGCAAACAGGTTTAGTTAAGTAAATAAAAATAAATGCTAATATAAAATAGAGTAAAATACAATTAAAAAATAAAACAGTCATTGCATTACAACTTAATTCTAGATCATAACAGCCACACATACACATCTCAAAGAAATTGCAACAGCAAAAGGATTAAGCCTTTGTCCTACAACCACGTGTGGGACACGTGAACAGATTATCGGGCCAGAAATTTGAGCCAGAAATGATTACCACGTGTTAGACACGTGATTAGTTGATCGAGCCATAAATGATCACCACGTATGAGACACGTGGTCAAAAATAGAGCCAGAAACGATTAGCACGTGTGTGACACATGATCAAAAAATCGAACCATAAATGATTACCACGTGGTCAGACGATCGGGCCAGAAACGATCACCACGTGTCTCACACGTGGTCAAAAATCTGGCCAGAAATGATCACCACGCGGACAAAAGATCGAGCCAGAAATGATTACCAAATCTGTGCGACACGTGATAAAAAAATCGAGCCAGTAACAATTACCACGTGTCTCACACGTGGCAAGATAATCAATCTAAAAAATCCACATTCATTCGGCAAGACAGTACGCGCCAACTCAAACCGAAAACATGCGAGAATGTCCAAGCAATCGTAAGGAGCACGCGTCGAACCGAACGGAACACGCGTCATTATAATAACAACGATACAACCATTAACAATAAATATCGATGCACCGGCACTTGGCCGCGTTACAAATTGCGTGCGCGAATCGAATTAACCGGATACACGTGTCGAGAGAGAGAGAGGGAGAGAGAGAGAGAGAGAGAGAGAGAGAGAGAGAGAGCGCGCTGATATCGTTACCTGTTGATCTCGGCGATACGGTTCTCGTTCAGATTGATCACCGACAGGTTCTTCATGTTCTCGAACGCGTGGCTGCCGAGCGCCGCTATGGAGCTCCGGTTCACCTTGATCTCCGTGATCGTCGAGAGATTCGAGAACGCGTATTCGGCGAGCTGGTCGATCTTCGCGTAAAGGAACGCGATCTTCTGCAGATTCTTCAGCTGGCGTAACAGCTGCGTGGGTATGTACTCCAAGCTGTTCACCGTCTGCACGATGAACGTAAGCTCCTGCAGATAGATCTGCGAGGTGAAATAATCCCAGGTCGGGTCGGTCAGATTCATCGGCTTCAGGATCATGCACTTCGCGGCGGTCGCGTTCTTCGCCGGATAGCCGTCGCAGAGGCAGACGATCGGCATGTTTTGGTCGACCATGTTGCAGATGTTCACTTCCTTCGTCTCCTTGCCGACCTTCTTCTTGCCGCGGGACCTCGTCGACGCGGACAGGCTCGCGGAGAGCAACGAGGCCACCAAGAGCACTTGGAAGCACAGCGAGATCCACGGCAGGTGCCTCATGGTGCGGCCGTTCGTCTGAAACACAACGTGATTCGCCGGTGTTAGAATGTCTTCGGCGAACGCGACGCGATCGGTTAGCAACTATATTATGAGATCTAGACGAGGGTTATTGTTTGTAACCTTTACACTCGAAGCTATTTTAATTATATATTAAACATACTGTCTGATCTACAGTGTTTTTATTTTATACGATTTATTGCGATTTATGCATAAAGCCTATTGGCCGGTACAAAACTTGCAATTTTAGGAGTCTTTTAGATATAAACGAGTCTGACACTGTTACAATTATTTTGAAAAATAGTACAGCAATTTTTAGTGGCGTCTCAGAGTCGTCAGTCGAGAAGTGCAAAGGGTTAAGAAAATGATCACCACGTGTGAGATACGTGGTCAGATTATCGAGCCAGAAATGATCACCACGTGTGAGACACGTGGTAAGATAATCAATTACAAAATCCGGATGACGGTTATTGTTTAAAAAATAAAGCTACGTGCACCGTAGCTTTATTGCACAAAAATGATCAATAATGATTTATTAATAATTTTTACATAGATTTAATTTATTTATTCAATTTGATCCGTGCACCATAGCTTTATTGTACGAAAATAATTAATAGATAATTATTAATCATTTTTGTGTTACGATCTCGTTCGAAGTTTGATCAGCGTGCCACAGCTTTATCGCACGAAACCACAGCGTTTAGTAATAACAATCATCTTCACGGGCCCCGCGAATCCAAGTTGGATATTAGAGAGTTAGCCTGAAACTATTTATCCTTTGGTAATCCAATATCTGTCGACGTACAGCGAGAGAGGTATGTGCTCGACCTAATTCGCCAAAAGTCAATTTCGTCAAATTCTGGTTAATCACAGGTTAATCTGTGACTTGCCACAAATTAGCGGTTACGGAAGTATATCCCAGCTATTTCACCTTAAAGCCTGCAAAAACTTCAATTAAAGGAACTCAACGGCGAGCCTTTGTTTACCTATATTACACACGTGCAACTATTGTTTTTAATTGCAGTAAACGTTTGTTAAATAATATGAAGTTTGACGATAAGTTTAATAATAATATAAAATTCTTCCTATAATAGATGCTGTCAGTGCGCATGGTTTTTGTTTCACACTGCTTGCAGCGAACGAGTTTCGAAAATAATAATATTATAATAAGATATNGCCTTTGTTTACCTATATTACACACGTGCAACTATTGTTTTTAATTGCAGTAAACGTTTGTTAAATAATATGAAGTTTGACGATAAGTTTAATAATAATATAAAATTCTTCCTATAATAGATGCTGTCAGTGCGCATGGTTTTTGTTTCACACTGCTTGCAGCGAACGAGTTTCGAAAATAATAATATTATAATAAGA